TTTTTCCCAGACCTTCCCTGAGTGCTTCAAATGCTAATTATTTTCATCTCTGACCTGCTTTCTTTTAAAGTTTCTGATGGTGTTTTTAAGCCTTGTTTACCAGGGCTCTAGGACTGTGTCAAGATGCCTCAAGGACAGTCTCACAGGGACTCTGAACAAGGAGGTGTCCAATTCTGTTACCTCTGCCTCAAACAAAGGAATCCCACTTTATATATCTTATATCGTGGGCTTCCACATATAATTTTATTTAACATATACTCTGTTTAGAAAAAAGTTTAAATTACCATTTACTGGATTATATCAACTTTTTACTTGAAGACTCTACACAGTGCCCCTTAACACTGACATCTAACCCTCTAGATTATTTTGGGTGTTGGTATTGAGCCCTGTATCAGATTGCAAGCACATGTTTTTTATTGTTACATTCCCATTCTGACCTCGCATTAAAGTCAGAATAGGAATAATAATCATATGGTAATTTGTCACTTCATTGGTCACCAGAGTGGATTTGGGTGACCTGGTTGACCAGGAAAAAGCCACCTCCTTTTTTAATTCACCTGGCTTATTGTCCAAGTTATCAGCTTGGACCAAAAGACTGCCCTCGCTAGGTAGGAGGCTACTGCTTCAGACAGGAGGCTCAGAGTGGGCTGCCCCACTGGTGAAACAAGAATCCTAGTGCGATGCTTACCGGTGCTTCCTTTTAGCTTCTTTTGCTAGCCCTTACTTATTTCGCTACATTCGATAATACTGGGTGCTGGAAGATTCAGTTGTTGAATTCTCTCCTTCTCTCCTTGCCTGTACTCCCCTAAGTCTATACACTGAAGACTCCCAGATGTATAGTTCTTGCCAGGACTCTCCATTGAAATTCCAAGCTCATATGTCCAACTACCTACCCGACATTTCTGTGTGAAGGCCTAATAGGTATCTAAAATTTAACACGTTGAGAACCACGCTCTGGATTGTCCTTCCAAACCTGATCCAACCATAGCCTTCCCTTCTCATTTTATGGCAACTCCATCCTTCCATTTGTGTAGGTAAAATTCTTGGAGTTTTGCATGTCTTCTATTTCCCTCACATCCAAATCTACCTTCAAAATATTTTTAGAGTCCAGCTAGGTCTCCCCAGCTTCACCACTACCACCTTGGTCTGAGCCACCATCAGCGTTCACCTGCAAAAACTCCTAACTTGTTTCCTTTGTTCCACTCTAACCACCTCTCTCCAAGCTTTATTCTCAACCCACCATTTTTGAATGGTGATTTAACTCCAAAGAAGCAGTGTGATGATGTTCAAAAACAATCTTTGTGTTGTATTTTTTTATAATTGTATATATATGTGTGTGTGCATAGAGTTGTTAATAATTAAAGATGCCTTTTTATTTTTTTGATTATTTTTAAATTAATTAATTAAAATTTTGTTGGGGGAGTAATTAGGTTTATTTATTTATGTTTTAGTGGAGGTACTGGGGATTGAACCCAGGACATTTTGCATGCTAGGCATGCACTCTACCACTGAGCTATACCTTCCCCACCAAGATGCATTTTTAAAAAATAATCATATCCATCTTCTGTATTGTTGTATCTCCAGTGCTTAGTACAAAGGATAGAACCCTATAAGCACTCAATTAACAATTGTTGAATTAATGAATGAGTGATCTCATTTAGGGAAGTTTGGCAGTCACTGTTATCTATAGGAGTGCCAAAGGCGTTTTAAATATAAAATGTTTTCCCACTTATTGAGAAATAATATATCACTCATTGAATTTGTTTTCTTAGCTCTGTCTTTTACATTTAGTAACCATTAGCTGAAGCTAATTAATACCTGCATTCATTTGTTTAATAAATATTTATTACAACTTTATGGCAAATACTGCCCTAGGCATTGGAAATACAACAGTTCATAAAACAAAAAAATATATATTCAATCATAAAATGAATAAATATATAAACATATAATGCAGTGAAGAAAATAGAGCTGTGTAAGGAAACAGAGAGTTGCAGTGTGTGAGTGGGAGCGTACTTTTTATACTCTCTTCATATAAGGATTTTCAGAAGTGTTGACATTTAGGCAGACACTAAAATAACTGATGGAGGGAACCATATGAATATTGGATAGGTTGGGGAGAAAGCCAGGCAAAAGGAATAGCAGTTACAAATACCGAGGGGAGAACATGCTTAATATGGGATTTGAAATCACAACTAACTGATCCTTTCTTCTCTTGCTCTAATTCCTGTCCCCTCCCCTGCTCTGCTTCTTTCCTGTGCACTTATGCCCTTTTGACACACAAATAACTTACTTATGTTAGTGGTTTCTGTACTTCTCACCACAGTGGAGGCTGTACGAAAAAGGACATTTGTCTATTATGTTCACCAGTGTACCCTAAATGTGTAGAATAGCATCTGACTCATAGCCGCTACTCGGTAGATTTTCACTGTCTCAATTGACATGCTGTTCTGGGGCCTGCAAAGAGACTGTGTGGCCAGTGGATAGTGTGTAGGGGCATAGACATGACGTGGACAGAGAGGGCTAGGATCGATATTGTATGGCTTTGTAGGCTTGGAAAGGACTTTGAATTGTCTCTGAAGTGTGACGTGAAAGTATTGAAGCATTGAGAATAAGAGGGTGGAAAGATCTGATTCACATGTCTACAGGTCTTATAGACTGCTGAATGGAGAAAAGAATTCACCATTTTCCAGGAGCTCCCAGTTGAGTGGACAGGTGCACCAATATGCTAATAACTCACCTATTGCAGACCTTAATAAGGGTTACAGCTGAAGTACAAACCAGTTGTGTGAAAATAAAAGGACCCCGGAGTGGTGAGGCTTCATGGAAGAGGGGGCACTGAAGCTGGATCTTAAATTTGAGTAAAAAGAGAATTCTGGGTGACAAAACAATTGAGAAAAGAATAAATGCAACACAATCAATTGGTAAAAAAAAGACATTTAGAAAGTAGGTTTCGATTCAGAGTGACTGAGAGGATAATGATGACAGTAAGTGCTTTGCATGCATTATCTCACTTAGTTTTTACAACACTCTCAATGAGTTAAAACCTAGTTTAATCCCCACTTTTCAGAGAAAGAAAACTGAGAGGCTCAGAGAAGCTAGGTCATAGCTTTATTGGTCAAGAAAGTAGAAGGATGGAGATTTGAATTTGAGTCTGATGCTAGAGCCCATGTACTGAGTTGATGATTTAATAATAATATGATCATAATTCAAAGAAATATCCAATTCCTTACATCTAATCAGCTCAAACAAATTAATATTTTTTCGCATGACTGGAGCTGCCAGTGTATATAATGCTATCCAAGGCACTGTAATTATGTTACTGATTATGTGCTCTTTTGATATTAAAGCAAAACATTTATAATAAGAATTTCTGCTTTTGTTACGAAATGTCAATTTATGTTCCTTTCAATTATTTATGTGTAGTGAATGTCAAGTATAAGGCAGATAAATTGAAGAGATTAATGTATGCCCACAATTTATAATGACAAAATAAACTCTTAATTCTGTCGCAAGGAGCTCCAAGCTCCTAATCAACAAGCTACAAAATTGTGACTGGATCAGTTGTTTACAGGGTCTACATTTCCAGCTAAGACATGGCGACCCAGGAAAGTTTTAATAATTCACTGTCAATATGTTCAAAATGAAGTTTTGCTGAGGTCATTCCCTGTCTGAGTGGCATTTAACCTTTTCAGTCCTTGGTTATGGACTGAAGAAGATACCAACAAAACTGGTCACATGACCTGGATTTAGAAGAGAGGTCAACATAAAAATGGAATTTAAGAGAAAATGGAGAAAAGATAAATTCATCAAAGAGGAAATAATAGGCAGAAAATTTTTAGGATAAGGGTACAACAGAGCAGTGTTTCTCAGTTTCTCTCACAAAGAGAAAATCATGACATTTTACATCACACTGTTGTAGACAGAGGAGGCTGCTCAAGCCTAGAATTGAGAACATCAAGAGCTCGGAAGTCCCAGCTTTGAGGAGTTGCCCTGAAGCTGAGAGACTGGTTTGCAGCACACTCATAACCTATTTGCAAAACACTAGTTGGGAAGTTCTGCCCTAGTTAGCTCAGAATGATTCATGGTATGACCAAGAAGAGTGGGACATTTTTATCTCTCTTATGTTCAGTTTGACTGTAAAAGAAAAGAATTGCACTGTGTCAGTGATCCCTTAATCCTTTTCAATGTTTGTATGCTGAAAAACACCAGAGAAGCTTTAGAAAAATGCTAATTTGGTGTCCTTAAAATAATTAAACCAAGATCATGAGAAGTGAGACCTAAATATTGATATTTTTTAAAGCACTGTAGAGAATTCTAATGTTGGAAAAATCTAGATAATTGCTAGGGTCTTTTGTGTCCCTAACCATCTAAGATTTTAAATGGCATTAGAAGATAGTCTGTAGCACCCTAAGTTGGGAGGAGCCTGTGAATATGTGGATGCTTAAAGGGACAATCAAAGAAAACCCGTAAGAGAGTCCCAGGAAAGAGATTGTAAGCCATTGCCAGTGATACCTAAGAAGATCCCCTTCTAGACTTAAAATTGCCAGGAAGTAATTATTTCTCCTTGTAACAAAATTTAAGTGACAATATCAGTCTCAGACTTTGAGATGAGAGAAAAAGAGATAAGCATAGGTGCAAAAGAAAAGGGATTTCACTGTAAAACTACTGTTCCATCTTTGGATCCAAATGGATGGGTTAGTATAATTCTTTACTGAATGGATCAAATAAAAATATACTAGGAAAATAGGATGGAGATACTAGCTAGAGAATGGAAGACATAATAGACCACAGATTCTTGGTTAGGTATGAAGAGAGTAAAAATAAGAATTGGCTGATAAAGTGGGTCAAATGATGTCTATGTTCATGATATCCAAGAAAAAATACAGTGGAAATAATAGAATATGAGAATAGGATGATAAGGAGTGATTGCTCTAGGGATTACATTCCCCTCTACTTCATTGGCAGGGGCCCCAGTAGAATAATACTTCTGGCCTTACTTGTACTCTTCCAAGAAGAAATGATTTCCTGGGTAAGCCAGTCTGGAGAATGAACTGGGGTGCGTGGCTCATTTTTTCCCTTCCTCCTTTTATCAGTCCTCCAGAGAGCATGCATTCCAAACTGCTTTTTGCCATGCTGTAAACTTTGTAGCTTCTCTCAACCCACTCATCTGCAGTCAAAGCCTTTAATTTAAGGAGGTAAAGCCAACTGATTCACTCACATATCAAAGCTGTATTCTTTTAAATTCTACAGTGCTTTACCATTTTCAGATATTTTATACACATGATTTCCTATAATCCCATAGTAACCATTTTCCCCCCTACCACTATATTGGTTATAGTATATATTAATATATTAATGTACTTAATATATTAAAATATTCCCTCTCTGTCCTTCATGGTTAATTCATACCATTGTCTCACTTCTCAAACATTCAACACACCCTTCTCTAACCTACCCTCTGCTGATGTCCCTGCTCCTTAAGTTCCTGAGGCCTTGTGCAAACTCCCACCCCCACAATTATCAGCATTAGGGACCCACATACTCTGCCTTCCACTTGTTTTCAAAGATGGGGTCCTCTTTCTCTTCCTAAAGCCAATCTCTTTTCACATAGATACTGTCTGCTCTCATCCACTCAAGGACATCATTCCAGAAATCTGCCTCTATTTGCCTCTACATCATCAATTTTTCACCCTCTACTTGAGTTTTTATCTTAGTACAACGTGTTCTTATTTCTCTCCTTTCTTTGCAAGCCACTGTCCCATTTCTTTAATTCCCTTTGCAACAGTATGCTTTAAAGTGTTGTATAAACAGTTTTCAATTTCTCTTCTATTTTATCTTAAACTTACTTCAGTCAGCTTTTCTTCCAACCCTCCACTGAAGCCAACCCTCCACATTGTTAAATCCAAGGGCCAATTCTCAGCTTAGCTGATCTGTCAGCTCTTGACACAGAGGATCATTTGTACCTCCTAGAGTCATGTTAATCGCTGGTCTTTCCGAACATGTCTGTCTTGGTCTTTCCCCTACTTGGCTGATTGCTTCTACTCATACTCATTTTCTGGTCTCCCAGGACTCTTATTGTTGGAGTACACTAGGGCAATGACTTCTTCTCCATTACATCACTTCCTGACGACCTCATTTCAGGCTTTTGGCTTTCTATCTGTATGCTAATTTGGTCTCCAGACTTGTATATTCAATTCCCTTTGTGACATCTCTATTTAGATCTTTAGTAGAAAACTCAAACTCAACAGGTGCATAACTGAACAACTGTATTTTTCCCAAACCTGCTTCTCTGGCAGTCTTCTCCATCTCAGTTGGTGGCAATTTCATTCTTCTATTGATCAGGCCAAAAACTTGAGCAACTGCTCAGGTCAAAGGGCTTGCAGTTATCCTGGGTCCTTTGCTGTCTTTCACAACCCACATCTGACCCATTAGGAAAATCTGAACACTTCAATAAAATTAAAATAAATAGTTCGTCAGATAACCAATCACCTAAAAATTCTTGGATGTATAAAATCAATCAATCAGTTACTTATTAATCCATTTTTATATTCTGTACTGAATTACAATCAGTGGTGGATAAAGCAGTGCCAAGATATAAATTTGAGTCGTAATGTGGCTTTGAAATCAGAAAAGCCTGATTTCAGATGATGTGATTTTCTCACTTACCAGCTGTGTGACCTCAGACAAATTATAATTTCTTAAATGTAACTGAGGAATAAAATATCTCCTTTAGAGAGTTTTGTAAAAGGCAACATTATGACTGACATATAATATCATTCAATAAATGGTAATTATTGAGCCACTGTTCTTGTTCTTAATAGAAAATAAAACAGGATAGTGATTGTTGGCTTTGGTTTCCAAAGAAAAATTCGTGGAAAAAGTAAAATTAAGGAGGAAAAAATGCACTTGCTACCATGGCAACTGTGGCAGTACAAATCTTGAAGTATAAGAAATAAGATAATCTAAAGATTGGTTTAGTCTACTCCACAGTCTTGCCTAACATTGTTCTTGTTCCTGTAATCTTGCAATCTTTCTCATCTTAAACATGGAATTATGAATGGAGTGTCCATCCATATAAGTTAAAGTATTTTTAGAAAAATAGTTCTATTATTCCAAGCTATTATACCAAGCTAGATGTGGGAATGTTATCCTAAAAGTCCTTGCATAGAATTGGTTACCAACATGATTTCTTTCATCCTTTGAATCTATTTCTTCTGGGATGGTATAAACAAAGTATTTAGTGAACTGGATGAAAAGCATTATAACATCTGCTTCGTTTGCTTGGTATATCCCTTTGTTTTCTTTAATGTGGTATTTTTCTCAAAGCTCTACGAATGCATGAGAAGAGTTAGTATCTATGTGTACATTTGAGTGGGTGGACACATGTTAGTGTACAAAGTGAGGTGTCTCAACATATATTTTAAAGTCTATTTTCTAAACCACTACACAGCATTATTTAATAAAAACAATATGACTTGATAGTTAGAATATCTGGATTTGTTCATTCTTTTTTCATTGTTGTTCATTCATTCACCAAAAACTTGCCTATTATGTACCAAAGAGTGCGTTCAGCATGAAAAATTTTAAATATACCACATATTTACTCTAAATAAGACTCTGGGAATGAGAATAAGCATTTTTGAATTCTCAGGACTAGTCATCCAGTCAAAATGAGATAATCGGTATTAAAATGCAATTCATGAAAAGAGAAAAGCAAAACAACCAGAGGAGAATGTTTTAAGCCTATATATATGAATCATTCTACTGTACACAGGAATTAACACAACGTTGTAAATCAACTATACTGCAGTTTTTAAAAAAATCCAAATTCTGTGTGAGCAATTGAGAATTCTCTGTATTCCTGGTGAAATAATTCCAGTGCAGTCCAAGAACATATATGAAAACTGGACAGTAAATAAGTGGAGAATACAGATTTGTCCAGGGTGGAAGTATTCTGTTTGGTCACAAATGGCTAAGAATTTTACCAATTTTTAAGGAAAAATGAAACAATGTAAACAGTGTACTATATAGTAGAGCATGTAGGGCAAAACGAAGTTCATAGTCAACGTATAACACTATATGTGGAGTTTTCATGCTGTAGAATGGACTCACTACTTCTCAACTAGCAATTTTTATGTGTATAACAGTCAGAGCTCTGAAACCTTTTTGAACATTATCATAAAAAACCTGAGCTATGTAGGCATCTGGTATCCAGAATGGTAGAGGAGGAAATAATATCATGTCATAAAACTTTAATATGATTTCTGTAAAATCAGGCTGATGACGTATATTTTAAAACATAAACTTAACATAATGTAATGTCAACATAACATTATTGACTTGTAGAATTTAGAGTTCTAATCAACTAATATTTTTTTCTGTTAAAGGACCAAACAAAACAAAACAAAACTGAATCCTGAATTTCATACAATTAATATTTGTAACTTAAGCATAAAAGTATGCATAGGCTGTCATCATAATAATGTAAACATTTGTGAAAAATGTGATTCAAGCAAAAAGAAACCGGAGTGAAAGAGCAGAAAAAATATGAAAAGAAGATAGTGTTTCAAAAATTTCTAATTCGAGTTTTGAAGGCAGTAATATGCAGGTATGTATGTATATGGATATATATATACACACACATATGTGTATAATTCACATAGTACATGCACATGCATACATATATATACAGACATACATAAGATTTTATGAAATAATGTAAACAATACAACACATCATTATCAAAATATAAGTTAAAGCCAAATCTAGTATTTTTCTTTTGTTATAAATGGAGGCTTGTGAATTTCAATCTCAATATACTTGATGATGGTGATGATGATGATAATTATTTTGGTCTACAAATGGCCAAAAATCTTGAAGGATCTCAAGGAATTGCCTTGATTTATTTGGGACACCCTCAATGAATGGATTAATTCTTTAAAAAATGTCTTGAACTTGGAAAAAAGTCTCTGAGGCATTAGAAGTTTTTCTTTTTTAATTGAAATACTTTAATGCATGATCTCACTGCTAGACTTGATGACACCTGTTGGATTGAGCATCTCATTGGCATGCTACAAAACGCAGTGTTCCCCCTCAGTTCACCTGCCCTTCATTTCTGTTCTAACTGTACTGTGTGTCTGGCACATCATTTCTCTTCAGTAAGGGTTTGTTGAATAAATGAGTGGGTGAATGAATGAATGAACAAACACTGCAACCTTGTGCACAGCCAGCTGTGTGTCAGAAATTAGGAGACTCAGAAGCAGGATGTAAAAGTCAACTTAAGAGTTTTGACTATCTATACAGGGTCATCTTTGCTGCATCCTAAAGAATTAATGATATAAAGACAAGTGTACAGGTTTAGAGGGAGATGCATAAATCTGACTATATATTTAGATAGACAGATACATGATAGGTAGGTAGGTAGGTAGATAGATAGATGGCAGTATATACTTAACTATCTTCCATATGTCATCTGTATGGATTCACTAGGATGTATTTCCCGTCTGGGCTGTAAATATCACTCCATCTGGCATGGCTTCTAATTGAATGCTTGCCTAGAAAATTGTTATCCTATAGTGCTATGATGTAAATTGTATTGATATCTCTCTCCTCGCCTTTCCTCCTCCACCTCTTCCTCCTCTTTATTCCTCCGCCTCCTCCTCCTCTCTCTTCTTCCCTTTCTCTCTCTCTCTTTCTCTGTCTCTCTCTCTCTCCTATTCTTCATCCTTTTTAAACATCTATCCCTTGAGCATTTATTAGAAACTAATAGCAAATGAGCAGCTCTTTTCAGTGTATTCTTTTAACTCCTCCAATTCCTATCACTTTAGTACATTTTTGAGCTTGTTACCCATTACTCATAAAAAATGAAAGAAAAGCTACATTGAATTGCTTGTCTTGAAGCAGAATATATCTTAACGGTTATTTGTTGTAAACAATTATGTTGAAGGGACATAAAATATGTTTGTGCTTAATATTCCTGACAGGATACGAAATAGTAGCTCTAAAGTATTTTTGAACTTTTTATAAAACCAAACTGATAACATGCATTTCAGAAAGCTTAAGAGTAATTATTCCCAGAGGTAGAAGGGTGTATTGTATGATTTCTGAGAATCTGTGTAAGTCTATTAAAAACAAGTGTCTGGCTTTATTTTACCCATTTTTTAAAAGTGTAATTTAGTTATTCTTTTACTTTTTCATATTCAGTTTCTGTAAAAATTCAAGTGGTTGAGATAGTTGGTATTAAACCTTTTAGAGTTCATGTTGTTAATTTACTTCTCTTTGGTAGAAGATACATTATGAGATATTTTGGGCAGTGGTCTGTGTCTAGCAATTGAAATAGACATATTATTTACCCTTCCTGTGGTAGAGTAGACACCATTGATTGCCTAGAAACCAATGATTGCTACCATTAGCATATTAAATTGTGTTTTACGTGGTAATGTTGCACTTCATTTTACTTTTAAGTTAATACTTAGTCTAATTATAAGTGAAAAGCACCCAAACCAAATATGAAATTTCTTGACAGGCCATAATAATCTTGGAATTTGGAAAGCTAACCAAAAGAATAAGAATATCACTCTGCATCTCTATACTTCATACATGTTTTTAAACACAAGTACATTCTAATTTTACTTGATTTCATAGGAATAGGGTGTTGACTAGATTAACTCTCTTTACTAAATTCACTTGAGAAAATGTTTATAAATAAAAAAAAAAACACCTAGCACAGTTCCCTCTTATGCCCTGAAATGTTTTCACCGTATTTCCCCCACCAATCTTTGCCATCTCATATCTTTGCACACATGGATTCTTCTCTTTGGAAAGTCTTCTACCTTCTACTTTGGCCAAAATCTCTCTAATACATCCCTTGAATTGCTGCTTTTCAGATGAACTCACTTAGTCTCCTTTAGATTAAGTTAGTCATTAGCATTTATTAAATTGCATTTCAGCTATCTTGCTAGTTAACTACCTCTTATTAGTTGATATTTCTTCCACAAAATTTAAAGTTCCCTGAAGACAGATGTTATAATTTTTTTATAATTATGCCTCTAGGGACTGGAAACAGTCTCAGGCCTCTATAACCACAATGGACAAGTCAAGATTCTATATCCTCAGCAATTTTTGGACCTGGACACCATCTTCAGTACTGCTACCAGGCAGAGAGAGAAAGCTGAGTTGTCTCCAAGTAGACCTCAGAACAATAAAATAATGTCATTGTCATAAAAGCCTACATAGAAAAAAAAGTTTGGGGAAGAATGTATACTTTGGCAATTTCAACAATGTTTAGAATAAAACAGTGTACTTAAAATAATTATATATTAATATTTGTTCTTCATCCTGCTTCTTTCAACATTAATTCATACTGGTTCCTCCCCTCCACAAACGAAATACAAAAAAGAAAGACA